GGCTCCAGAAAACTTACTTGAATCTAAAAAGAATATACATTCAAGCTCAGATTTGGAAGAGATTTGAAGTTTGAGAGGGTTTTCTCTGGGAAGAAAAGGTAAAAGAATGGAGAAAATTGAGAAGAAAGGTTGTTTGGTTCTAAAATAAAGTTTTTAGAGTGAAAGTTCCTTAAATACTTCTCAAACTCATGACTTTCTCACTACACAAAATTAATTTAAATATTATTTTATCTTCAACACAAATATATGTAATAACAATATATATATATATATATATATATAACTGTTGGATTTGGTTGATATCCTTGCTAGAATCTTCTTCAGAAGATTCAATGAGGAGGTTATTGATCTGATATTCTACAGAAGGATATAGGTTAAGGTTACTAATCTTTTTCTTAAGCCTACAATATTTACTGATATGGCTGGGTTTACCACAGTTATAACAAGTTACTTCTGTCCTAGGTTTTCTAGAAACATTTTTGGGGATAACTTCTCCATCTTTCTTAGAGGGTTTTCTGTTATATTTCCTTTTGTAAAGTTTCTTCTTGACTTCTACTTCTTTCTTAGGATAATGTTTTTTCTTTTTGATTGGACAAGGAGGTAGGCCAAATTGTTCACAGAAAGATCCTAAATCTTTTTTATTCTGGGCTCTTTCTTTGGCTATTTGCCTTTAAATCTTGTTTTCTTGACAGATTTTCAAAGCTATTTTTTGAATGACAGCATTGAGTTGCCCATAACTCAGACTATCATAAGGAATTTCTCCATTGGCAGAATGACTTTGGAGTTTATTTCTAACTAAATCTCTGAATGACTTAGAAAGGCCAACTAGGTATTTTTCTTTCCAAAAGAATTGTTAGTTGTCTTCTCTAGTATAAACACTAAACAAGTAGGTATCCTTATACCATCTAAAATCATCTAAGGTTCTACACTTAAGATTTGATAATAATTTAGCAGACTTATCTCACCATAAGGATAGGTCTCCTAGGAAATGTTGTGCTATGGAATACAGGAGAGTATAGACAACATCAAGAAGTTGCTCATCATTATCAATAATGGCTTGTCCTTTGGTATCAGTTTTCACGGCAGAGAGAATTCTCTCTTTATCTTTATCAATGAGATAATTATTCCACCATCCTTTGAGTTGACCAGAAAAATCGGCAACAAGAATACTTGCAATTGTATCCTCAGAACAATCATAAGAAGTTAGGTAGGCAGTGGCTACCATAGACATGTGATGCAGAGTAGTAATAATATTATACTCTGACTTGCCATCTATGTCCCATTCATAGATGTTATTGGCATTGAAACTTTGGAAACTATGCTCATTATTTTCTTTTAAAATAAGATCAGGAGCAGTAGTCTTGTTAATAAAGCTTAGAAGGGGATTTCCAGTTCCTACTGTTAGTAACAACCAGATTGACTTCTAAATTAGAAACAAAATATGCTTTAGAAGGAGGTTCTGAATTAGTTTTGCTAATGGCGTTGACAGTTTTGGATAGGGATCTAGTCTTAGGTCTAGCACTAGACTCTTCTGAAGTTTAAGGTGTTTCAAGAATGGTAACAGTTGCAACCATGGTATTAATTTTGCTTAATAACTCACTTTGGTTTCCTGAATCTAAGGATTTTGGGTTTTCTTTTTGCCTAAGCTCTAAGATTTTTTGCTTGGCTTTGGCACCAATCTTAAAAGGTTTAAAAATAGGTTTTTCTAATTGAGTCTGGGAAGAAGAAGAAGGTATTTCTTCCTCTTTTTGTTTTATAGTAGTAATAGAGATCTTATCACCTTAAACCTGTAAATATTCATTGGTATAATTGGCCTGTTCCATAAGGCCTTGGATATCACTGGGAGTGATAGACTCATCAGGATTTTTGGTTTTGAATGGTGTTGCCATTACTGGATTGCCACTATTATTTTTTAATTTTGGCAATTGGTATTTGGTTGTTGGAGGCAGTTAACTCTGAACTGTTTGTCCATCTTTGATCCGTCAAGAGATAACGTTAGCAGAAGAATTACTAATAATATCAATCTGCCAATGATAATCTAGATTATTCTTGATGGTATAAACATGAAACCAATCAAAGAATGAAATATTTTGTTAAACTTTTTCGAGAAATTTATAAAATTCAGTCAGACCTATTTTTACCCTTATAATTCTAGAAAAACCACTCTCTCTAAGGTTTCCAATCTTCAAAATAGAAATCTTTTCTAAGGGTTTCCTTATCAATAATAAACTTATGAGATAATATCATAAGACTCATTAAGGGAGGAATATGTTAGAGATTGGATATTCTAATTTTCTATTTCCTTTTCGGAGGTTTGATAAGCTGTTCTAGGAATACTAGAAAAAGTATCTAAACCTTGTATGTTTATTTGAGAAGGAATATGAGATACGGCTCTAGGTATCTCAGATCTAAAAGTTTGGAATCTGGAAGAGAATGATCTCCCCGTAGATACAAAATCAGATTGCTTACTTAAGGCTTCATTTCTGGAGGAGAAGGAGTTTCTTTTATTTAAAGTTATTTCTAATTTTTCAAAATTGTCTTGGGAGATTTCTTGAATTTGAGGAGCAGGTTTGGTGATGTAATCTAAGGCGCTCTCAATCAAGGAAAATCGAATGGATGTGAATTTACAAGAGGATGCAACTGATTGATGAATCTTGATCTTCAAAGCTCCAAAATTGCAAGAGGAAACCAAGATAAATGATGGAGTATTTGGTGCAGAATTTTGAGACAACTTGAAGTAAAAGAACAAATGGAATAAGGAAGGAACGAAGGAGGTAGAATGACACCACCTAATAAGAATTAGGATAAGCCTAATTGCTCTCACCACATAGAGAAAACTCCATGATAAGAGATCTAAACCTAGGTATTCTAGAGAAAATGGCCTAGAGAGAAATTCACTTACTCTTGGTGAAAAACTACACAAATGATTCATTAGCTCCAAATTACAAGTGTTGGAGCCTTTATATAGGCTTCCAATTTCGTACAAATGAAGCTAGGGAATGGGGAAGTGGGCTGGAAATACAGGCCTATGAAATGGTGGCCCATGAAATGGTTCTGTTTGGACTACTGTCGTCCAACTTTCTTCTCTTCTCCCTCCACTGGTTCTGTGCTAGTTTTACCGTTCCAGTTCCTTATGTTTTAAATTTCTACATTTACCTTTTTGCATATTTACTTTTTTGCAACTTTATTTAGTAGTTCTGCTATTGCCTACTTTCTTTTCAGTCTTTATTTTTCCTTGATCCACTATATATATAGAAAAGATCTTCTTACATTAGTGTAAGTCTAAAAACTCTTATATTCAATCTGAACCTTTCATTTAATTTAAATTTAACGGCTAGTAAAGTAATAAATTATAACCCCTTAGATTTAAGTTAAATGAAATGCTCAAATTAGGTGTAAGAGTTTTTAGACTTACACCGGTGTAAAAAGATACTGCCATATATATATATATATATATATATATATATATATGATTTTTAAAAAAAATATAAGATAATAATACAATTGCAAAAATTAATAAAAAGACTATTTTAAAAATAATTTTTTAATTTTTTTGTAAATAATAAATAAAAAATATAAAAAAATAAAAATATAAAAATAATATTGAAATTATTATAATAAATATTCTTACGTCTTTATCTTTTTTATATTTTTAATTACTAAATTAAAATTTTAAATATTTTATATCTTAAAGTAATGTATATTATTTTGTGATATCAAGTTCAAATTTCAATAAATATAATGTGACACTTAAACATGATTTTAGTGATTTAGATAAAAAAAAATAATATATTTTATTTTATAAATTAATAAAAATTATTGAAATAAATAAAATGACATAAAAAATTTAAAAAATAAACAAAATATTTTACTTAATATTATATTCATCTGATACTTTATTTGACATTATTACAAATACAAAATATTTTTAAAAAATTAATTTTGTTAAATTATAATTACGCATTTTTATCTATATCTAAAAAATATTTCACATGAGTTTGACAAGAGAAGCAATAAACTTGAAAAATCAAATAAGAAAAATAATAACCACACTTTAATATACATTCAATAATTATAAAATATAATAACATTTTTTTACTAATACCTTTTAAATATTAGTTAACAAAATTTTATTATTAAAACAATATTCTAAATACATTTTAATTTTAGAATTAGAATCTAATTTCATTATAAATAAGACTAATAAAAAGAGAGATTAAAATAACTTTTAAAAATAAATAAAACTAAAAATTATATTACTAATATTTTTTATACAATTTAATTAGAAAAATAAATTATTTACTATTTAATTCGTGTGATGGATAAATAATACAAATTAGAAAATATGAATTTAATTTTAATAATATAAATATAAAAGATTATATTATTGACTAATTAAACACATTTAAATATTATTTTATATTAATTATTATAAATTTAATTATTTTTAATATAATAATTCAATAATAATATAAAATTATTTATTGTATATTTTACTAGATTTAAAATTAGTTTTAACTTAAATTTAAATTTTAAAATTAATTTTAAACCAATTTTAAAAAAGATAAAATAAATTAATTTAAAATCTAATTCATATAATTAAATTTAAAATATATTTAAATTAATTTTCTCTAAATCCAATCCATGCACATTTCTTCTTTTGTAAATTTTAAAATTCTATTTTGTTGAACTTTAAACAATTCATCTATTACAATTTACATCTCACTCATCTCTTTCAACTACGTAAGTAAATAATATTAACATTGTTGCGTGCAAATGGATAAAAAGTGTGTGGGAGGAGAGTGTGTTGGGGGAGGTTTTGAAAAAAGTAGATAATTATATAACTACATTATCGTCGATTTCATCTCAAAATTTTAATTTTTTTAATCAAAACCCGAACAAAACAATAATTAGTATTAGCATACTTCCTTTTCAATATTCCCTGTGTTACGTGGCAATTAAGTGTTGCTTGGAAATGAAGTGAGTGCTACGTACGGTCACAGCAGATTGAAACCCAGTTACCGGAGCGGAGTAACCCTGTCTACCAAGTAAACCCGAGTTCTCTTCCCTCTTCTCTCTCTCTATCTCTTCGATCTTTTGTTTCTGAAACTTCAAAGATGGTGCTCGAGGTAAACTCTGGTTTCCCCTTTTTCTTAGTTTCAGTGAACTCCACCATTACTTTCATCCAATATTAGGGTTTTTATTTTCTTTCATTAGATTATTATAATTAACTGCGATTGATTGTGTGTAATAATAGGCGACGATAATCTGTATTGACAATTCGGAATGGATGCGTAACGGGGATTACGCTCCTTCTCGATTTCAAGCCCAAGCAGACGCTGTCAATCTTATTTGTGGTGCCAAAACCCAGGTGAGCCCTTAACACTCGTATTATCTGTGCCTGATTAAACTTTTTTTTTCTAACGAAAAATACAATGTAAAACATATTTTTGTTTTTCAGAATTAGGTTTTAAGGTCAATTGGAGGTTCAGATAATTGCAATTGGGTTCAGTTGTGCTTATGGATTTTTTCTTTTGTTTTTTTTTTAATGATTCAGTCTAATCCGGAAAATACGGTAGGAGTTCTCACGATGGCAGGAAAGGGCGTTCGTGTTTTGGTGACCCCTACAAGTGATTTGGGCAAGATCTTAGCTTGCATGCATGGTTAGCTTTTGTTTCTTGAATTTTTTGGATGAGTGGCAGTCGAATCTGACAAGTAATAGAATGCTATGTGTAATGTTACTGTTATAGGGTGCCTATAAGTGCGATTGAACTGTCATGAACTTTATTAATATAAATGTTGAGCTAGAAAAGCAAAAAGTTTATGGTGTTTCGTTCTATGGTTGGATTCTTCTGTTCATGTCAGAGTTGATTTATGTTTGGAATTTCTCTTCTTAGGACTAGAAATTGGTGGCGAGATGAACCTAGCTGCTGGCATTCAGGTGGCACAATTGGCTCTTAAGCATCGGCAGAATAAGAAGCAGCAGCAAAGGATTATTGTCGTTGCTGGAAGGTGTGAATAACTGTTTCTTTTGCGTTATTTGGAACTGTTTTGTTTGTAATTGCTTTCCCTGTAATTATCTCATTTTGTGATTTTTAGTCCTGTCAAGCATGAGAAGAAAATGTTGGAGATGATTGGGAGAAAGTTGAAAAAGAATAGTGTAGCACTTGACATTGTCAATTTTGGTGAAGAAGATGAGGGGAAGACAGAGAAACTGGAGGCACTCCTTGCAGCTGTTAACAATAATGATACCAGCCACATTGTTCATGTTCCACCAGGTCCAAATGCGCTTTCTGATATACTAATAAGGTTTGTAGGTTTATTTTTCTCTTCCTTTGTACTCAGCATTCCCATTTGAACTGAATTCTCATTTGAGAAATAGAAAAGTTCTTGTATCTCTGCTGGTTCTACTCAATTCTGCCCACTTTTCTTGTAACTCGGATAGGAAAGTTTGGACTTTGGACCCTTGTGCATATTCTTTTAACCTTTTCTTTCCTCAGCTCATTACTCACTCTCCATATAGCCATAATTATAAATTCTTTCTTAGACCCGTTTGGAAGTTCAAAACTCCCTCTAAGGTCAACTCTTTTATTTGATAAACCTAATTACCATTAATGACATGCTTCAGACTGCTCACTCTCTCTCAATAGTTTTGTGTCACATACAATTCATGTTTTGAGACAGTGAGTCTTCTCTTAGATTGCAAGACAGTTACTTTTCCCCTGGAGCAATGGTTGTTTCCTTGTTTTCTGCAGTCCGTGCAGTTGTTTGGTGTACTTGGTTGAAGCAGAATATCAATATACACATTTATTAAGAGTTTTTCCTTGCAGCTACATATACTATTGTTGATTTCAGCTCATTGGTATTTCCTTGTCTAACTGGTGAAAAAATTGAGGAGCCCTGTCTCATTCTACGTTTTTCTCTCATATCCTTGTTTTCTCAATATGGTATTTGTTTGTTTTTAGAGCCTACCTTATCCATGCATCTGCTGTAGTCACTTTCTTTCTTTGCATTCACATACACACACACATGGAAGAAACTTTTTGGATAATTAAGTAACCTTGCTTTGTGGCAGTACTCCTATTTTTACTGGTGATGGGGAAGGAGGAAGCGGTTTTGCAGCAGCTGCTGCTGCAGCAGCAGCTGGTGGTGTATCTGGATTTGAGTTTGGTGTTGATCCAAACTTAGATCCTGAACTGGCACTTGCTCTAAGAGTTTCAATGGAAGAGGAGAGAGCCAGACAGGAAGCAGCTGCCAAAAAGGCAGCAGAGGATGGTTCCAAACAGGAGAAAGGTGGTGAACAGCAAGCTAGCACACAGGATACAACAATGACTGAACGTGCCAGTGCAGCAGCTTCTGAAGCTGAGACCAAGACGAATGATTTGACGGTTGGTGTAATTTGTTCATTTAGCCATGTTTGTTACCTGTTTTGACCTATTCTTATTTGAATTATACAAACAATTATCTAATTTCATAAACAATTAGTTGTGCTATTTGCTGTATTTTTCTCACGAGAAACCTTGAAAAGTTGATGTTGGACCTTGGGTAACTTTAATTTTCTTATTTATTGGATGGTTTAAGTAAAACTTACAAATTTATGGAGTCTGGGGAGCTAGTCACTTCATGAAAGTCCAAACCACACCTATCCCATCATTTGTCCTCTTCCAACCTGCTGTTGTCCAAACTAATCCAGTGATAGCAACTTCATTAGCTATGACCCACCTGATCACTCCAGTGATTTAATATTTAGAGAACATCTCCTTTTAGTCCATAGTATCATCTGTATTCAGTCAACAATTTTTGCTTCTTCTAGTGTTTCATAATTATGACCAGTTTTGTCATCATTAACACTAATAATTCACCTTGCTACTTGTATTATCTTTTTCTATTTTTGTGTTATATGTGATTCATAATGATTAACTCAGATTTCTACACCCATCACCATCGTGATTCGCATACTAATTATGTTGATCTGTGAATTATGTATGGCCTCAATCGAGCTGTTAGTGTTGCATCCAGATCCAATAACTAACTTTGGAATAGTTGTGTTTTTCTCTAGCTCATTAGCAATATATTCTATGTACTATCCCCTTTCTTGGTAGTTTAAGCTAATACATATAAAATAACTTGCCAATGACTTCTATTATTAAGTTCTAGATGCCATGAGTAAACAGGCAGTTTGGATAACTTATTCCTAGCAACAGGTTGCTTTTCTAACTGCAATTCAACATGAATGGCAACAAATGTCTGCTGTGTATGTATTCCTCCTCCCCCCACAGAAAGAGAAAAAAAAAATGCTTCTTGATCAAGCTGTTTTGGTTTAATTTCATTCATCCCATAAATAGGTATCAGGCAATAGTCTTTGCTGTGTGTGAACTGACTTGCAAATCGAAACAGGATGATGAGAATGCTCTACTACAGCAGGCGCTTGCAATGTCAATGGATGATCCTGCAGTAAACCAGGATGAGAGAGATACAGATATGCCTGAAGCAGCTGCTGATGATCCTGAGTTGGCTCTAGGTAAGTTTTTATGTTGTTTAATCATTCTGTATTTAAACATGGATGACTGCTTTCTCATTATGTTTCTTGATTATTGATCTGGTTCTGGAATTTGAGAAAAAATCTTTCAATTTTGGTTTAGTCAAGAGTGATAGAGAGTTTTCTTAATCTTTTGGGTTTGAAGGTGGGTATTTATGATCTTGAACCTATCATTTCTTTCATAGGGATTATGTATGGATTTTACATATTTACTGAGCTAACTCTCCTTGTTTGAGGGTTTGGCTTTTTTATATACATTCTGTTTTTTATGTACCGATAATTTAACTTTGTTTAATCATGTATAGTTATCTTCTATGATTTAACATTTTTTACGTAGTTTTTATCCTGATTTCACTGAATTCTTGTCTTTTCTTGCTTGGAGCTCTCCAATTGTCAGTAGAAGATGGCACAAAGGACTCAGCAAGCCAGTCTGACATGAGTAAATTGTTGGCAGATCAATCCTTTGTATCTTCTATCCTTGCGTCGGTATGTCTGATAAATCCTGTTTTTCTTCCATGTTTTTGTTTAAATGTATTAATAGAATGATTTGCAATATGTTCTGCGCTGAATAATATTTCATTGCTTTTGCAGCTTCCTGGGGTTGACCCAAATGACCCATCTGTGAAAGATTTGCTGGCTTCAATGCAAAATCAGTCTGAGGTAAGTTTTTTTATGGAAAAATATTATTGGGTTTGACAAGAGTTTTTTACATATTCCGGTGTAGGCATATTTAAATTTGGCTTCGCCTAGATTAGCCACAAATTCTTTTTCATCTCTCCCCTCTTCTTTTAATTTATATTTTGTTTTCTTTATTCAGTGATAATTGGATTTTGCGGCGTCTTAGGTTGCAAATCCTCGTTTTATCTTTATTCTATTAAATGATCTTTGAGGACTATAGCTGTAGGTGGAATTTTATATATGGTTGTGACAGCATAATCAGCAAGTGTCCTTCCTTACAAATTTTGCGTGAGAAAATAAATACATGCTTAATGGGAAAGTTTGATCATTATCACAAAGTATTCAGTTTTAGTTCATATTTATTTTTTCTGCTGAAATTGGTTAGGTGAAGAGGGGAGGGTGAATGCGGTGGGTGCTTAAAGTGTACAAAGAGTTTCCACTAAATGGAAAATTTATATGTGCATGTGCAAATAAATCTTATTTTATTTAATGGGCTAATAGAATTATATAAAAGTGATACGCAGCACATTTGTGCGCAGTATTTCACATCGCATGTTAAAATTCAAACAATTGGTATTTTGGTACATTTTTGCTATTTAACATTTTTCTGATTGTGCTGTCAATCAGCCTCAACAGAAGAATGAAGACAAGCCACCAAAGGAGGAGGAGAAGAAATAATCTGGAGTCTCTTTGCTGTTTTCGTTCTGTTCCTTTGGTAGCATATTGGTAGCATGATTAAAATGGACGTCTCTTTATTATGTGTGGATGATTCATCAGGTCAAACGCCTATTATGAAGATTACTGCATCTTTCTAAAATATTAATCAATCTCATCACGAAATTTACATGAATCCTTTTTTTTTTTAATTTGTTGTATTTATTTATTTTCGTTTATCAGTAGATGCGTACCGCCGATGCGTTGCCTTTTCGTTGGTCTTTTATGTGACTGCCAAACAGAACGGATAATAAAATCAGATAGATTCCCTTTTATGTATGTATTATGAGGAATGCTCTAACTATAATTAGAGATTAAATAATCACTCAAAGATGGCTATTTGCCGAATTTTCCAAATGGCATGGGCAAGTGATGCAAGGTCCTATAACCCAGTTTGGCTAGGCAGACTTTTATTAGATGTTCATGTAAAGTCGAGATTTGTTCATGTTCGTGATTTGGTTGCACGTCGATTTCCAAACAAGAAGTATGTAATAATACAACATATACATCTTGTAGGTGTTTTGTACATTAAAAATACCAAAAAAATAAAAGACAACCTTGAATTCCTGACACACATGAAGGCATTCTTGAGTGTCATTAGAGTATTCCTTTCAGTCATCTTATATTGATATGAAAGACTTATGCATGGTTCTACTGTTCAACATCCCCCTGCCAAACCATTCTGCCTCGTGAACAATGATTAGTTCCCATTGTCTTGAAATGATCTTTGTGGGGTTGATTCCATCTCTAGCAGAATGTACTTTCTCCAAATTCTGTTTCATTGACCAATTTTTTCACATTTTCTACTGCACCCTCACAATCACTCATGATGATAATTGTCGTGTGTACATATCAGAACTCAATTGCAATAACTACTAATTTCTCTGTATTAAATATTACTCAAATAACTATTGTCGTTTAGAATGAGGTTTTTACCCCCCCTCCATATTGGATAAAAATAAAGATAATTTCACAATTTTTAATATATGTGAACCTCTAAGGGATAGAGTATGCTTTCGTATCCCTCCCTAAATTTATTTATTTTGGGAAATTTTATATTCCTAATTTTGTTCTTTTTTTTTTGGAGGATGGGGGGAATCTTCTCATTCAAGATTTTAATTGAGGGTAGTTTCTATAGAGTTCCCAACCAACAACGAGAATTGTCATCTCTAGTACAAATGTTGGACCAATGTCAGTCCATTTGATTATGAGGTCATTAAAAAAAATATAAGAAAGAAAATAATCAATTAATGGAATCCTACTCTAAAATTCTTGAAAAATATGTTTCATATATCTTTTGAATTTTTTTTATAAAATATTGTTTAACTAATTTAAGAAAAAAAGGAGATTTATTTTATACGGAGTTACTCCATTTTTTGAAATTTTACAATTTAGTATTTACAGATTTTCTAATTTCATTTTAATTTTTTATGATTGTGTACTCAAATATTTTACAATTACAACTTTGTCCATCTTATATAATCACAAAAAAATGTACATCAAAGATTATTTCAATCCCCAAAATGGAGTGAATGTGTCAAGAATGAGATAACTAAGAAGAAAAATACAAATAATAGAAAAACTAAAAAAATTATAAATGACATGATAAATAAAAAATATAATAGTTGGCATCATAACTACAATTCGTGGGTCTGGGTGGAGCCTACCTCCTCAAACCTCACAAATATTTTGGGCACCATTTTAGATTTCCCTTTGGGTCTTCAAGCTACCTAGGACAAATTGCAATTTCAAGAGAATCAAGCCTACTTTAATAATTTTTTAAACAACTAAAATGATATTAAAACAAACATTGCTAGCTGCTATATACAGTTAAAAATAATGTACCATCACTGGTCCCAAAATAAGGTGGATTTTGCACTCCAACAAACTTGCATAATGGACGAATTACAGGTGAAAACAAAATATGCCACCCTACAGCACATAGACAAATTTCAATTTGATTACGACATCTACATCCAATCAACTAACAAAGTTTTCAATTCAAGCATAGGCAGCATAAGGGACTCAATTATTGCAATATTTTGATTCATTTTCTTTCATTTCTTACTATTTTTCATTCGATTCTGAGACCTCAGTTCTTCTAATCTCCATCGCATTTTAAACCCGTTAGATAAGTACAACAAATCAAACATCACAGAAAAAAAACAAAGAAACTATATCCGTTACATTAAAAAATTGTCGAGGACTTTAAAATTCAAAAAACACATGTTGACATGCATAATGTCACAAAACCAGATGCAATTTCAATGTTTCGAGGTAGATTGAACAACTAGAAATGACATCAGTTAATTCAAGGTCATTTCAACAAATGAAAATAACTCAACCGAGAATGAAACAGATATTACAAATGAACTTGAGCCATGGGAGCCAAGGGAGAAAGAGGGCAGAAAATAATAACTTTGCTTAAATTAAAGTTACTTGTAAAATTTAAGTTATATTTTTTCCATTCATGTTCTCTCTGTTTTTTTTGTTGGATATGAAAATATAACAACCCTATAGAAATCATATGCTACTAGTTATATCCTATATGTAAATTTTAGCTCATCTCAACCATTGATTAAAAACCTTATGTTATGTTTAATAAAAAATATAACTACATTTAAATATTTAAAATAAGCTAAAAATTTGATATTTATAAGACAACAAAAGATATAATGTTAAATAGCCAAGGTTGAACGTTCTTACAAAACTTAAACGCTAAAAGCCAAAGCAACTCAATCAAGTCAATAGTTATAGTATTATGCTCTTCTAGAAATTTGCTTTTATTCTGGTAAAGTCTATAAAGATAGGATGAATTGTGGGTTATGCTATCCTTTCTTAAGTTAAAAATCATGTGTATGTGATACAAGAAGATCCCATTACTTCCATCTCTGAAGTTTGAAAATTGACCAGAAAGTACCTGTCATATGAAAGGTTACGAGAATTTTTCTTTATGAATCATTTAATTATTACTATTTTATATTGAGTAATTATTTAAATTTTTATGCTACGTAAGTTTTACGTTTAAAATAAAAGTAAACTATTTATTAATTTACTTTACGCAACCTGTATAGCATTGAAAATTAAATGTACACAGAAATATCTCAATTTCTGTTGACTGACAAATCATATAAAATAAAACATTGAAGGCCTTTTTTAATTAGGAAAATGACAGTGCCTTTCAAGTGTCTTCGCATCTCCATAAACAAATTATAGGCAGAATGTTATTTTTACAACACGTTTTATAATAAGGGAGAAAAGTAAGAAAACAAAAGAAAAATATATAACAAAAAAGCTGTGAAGAGTGTTATAAACTTTTTGGGAGAGAATATCTTTACATTTTTAGATACTGGGTATTTCTATCGAATGTCACATTGGGAATTGGAAAAATATCACAAATAGGTGAGTTTTTTCTTTTTTCTTTTTGGTAATTTAGAGCATTTATAAAAAGTTATTATATATATTCAATTAATAAATTTAATAATAGATTGATCTAACATTTTTATAACTTTTTTTAAAAAAATTTCTTCATTGTGTTATTTATTTTATTTTTACTTCTCTTTTATCTTTTACTTTTTGTCTTTTTTGTTACATCAAGATTTCCATTCAACCTCTCAAACTAGAATTAAATCCAATGATAACGACGACTAATATGGAGGCATATGAGGGTATGTGTTTGGTCAAAATATCATTATCCATTAGCTTTAGTAGTATAGGTCGTATATTTTAATAACCTTCGACATAGTAAATTTTTTTGGTTAATCCTAAATTTTAAAATAACATTCATTTTACTCTTGGTATAACCAAAATAATAATAAAACATAAAACAAGTGACTTTTTTAATAAAACGAGTAGTTACTTGACATTTCCTCTTTTTATTTTCTAACCAGCTCTTTACAGCTTGTGTTTTGTTGAATTCCCATGCTGCGAACCTTGAGATAATCTCTATCAACATGAATTTAATAGGCCGGCACTCCTAGGCATGGACCAACCAATGCCAACTTTTTTTTATATTATTATTCATATAAATGTTGGGCCAATTCTCAGCTTTGGTTATATCCTTTTCTATAAATAAAATAAAATAAATGCATACTATATTATCCACGGACTTAGCATAGGTTGGGCGTGGAAAATGGGAAACACAAAAACTTTAGCTGCAGAGTCTCTCTCTGTTTTTCTTTTGCTTTGTTTCTATGGCACACTAGTTTGTGCTCAGTACATAAAGTATAATACTGGAGCTGGTATTGTGCCAGGAAAATTGAACATTCACCTGGTTCCACATTCCCACGATGATGTTGGTTGGCTCAAGACCGTGGATCAGTACTATGTTGGGTCAAACAATAGTATTCAGGTTAGACTCATAAGATTAATTCTGAGCGTTTGAACATAGCCATATAGTTGTTGACTTGTTAGGGTTCAAACTTGAAATGAAAATTTTGTTCTGTGCTTGATTGTTTTGTAGGGGGCATGTGTTCAGAACGTATTGGACTCGGTGGTTGTGTCTCTTCAGAAGGATCCAAATAGAAAGTTTGTGTTTGCTGAAATGGTAAATATTTTGTGTAGTGAATGTACAGAGAGATATGAAGAGTCAAAAGTTCAGTTCAGTTTAAAATGAGAAGGAACAGAAATTTGGTGAGGGTGTGGAAATTTTGTAACATTTATACATAAAATTTTCAATACACTTTTTATAACGCATTTCTCTATCAATCTTTTTCTGCTGTATTATCTATTTTATCTACTTTTTTTATCTTATCTTTGTCTTGATTACAAAAGGTGTTGAGAGAATATATTATTCAAATAGCATTAAACTCTAATTCATAAACTTGAATCAGAAAGTTAATAATTTCAATGGAGGGTTTCAATTAATTTTGTGAAATAATTTTTCAGGGGTTTTTCCATCGATGGTGGGTAGAACAAAGTCCAGAAATACAAGAGGGGGTGAGAAAGCTTGTGGATGCAGGGCAGCTAGAGTTCATGTACTAGTACTGCTATAGAGCTTTAGCATTTTTGTCCCTTGTGTTGTGGTCCAGCTTGTGATGTGTGTTTGAATGTGTAAGAGATAAAGATCACGAAATCTTATTACACATGTGACTTTGATGTGTTTTTTGTCGGCAGAAATGGTGGTTGGTGCATGCACGATGAAGCCACGTGCCACTACATAGACATGATTGATCAAACTACTTTGGGTCATCGCTTCATAAAGGATCAGTTTAATAAGACCCCTCGTGTTGGATGGCAGATTGATCCATTTGGACATTCTGCAGTTCAGGCTTACTTGTTAGGGGCTGAGGTGGGTTCATTATATATAGCCCAACTTTTTACATGGAATTTTTTGTATGCTTTTACTTCTTAAAATACAAACTTCACTTATTTTACTTCTTCAAATTGTTTTAATTCTTCCACTCAGAAGAATCGTCTTTTATATGTTTTAAAGTTATGAAATTCATTCTTGCAATTTTTATTTTTTTTTATAAAAGCATTCTAATAATCTTATGTAGCTTAAATTAATTTAGACGTGCATTTTAATTATATTCAATAATCTGAAGTTAATTTTGTTCAATTTTAATTCAATATACACTGTATTGTTTAGTACATAAAGGAAAATGCCGGGTAAGGGCAATTTGTGCTTCTGAAACATTTTACGAATTTTTATTCATGATAGTTGTCATTTTAATTTTTTTATTTGAAAATGTTTATTATTTCAGAAAAATTAAACATATATTAATTATCTTTTCTAATTTTTATCTTTATCTTTAAATGATTATATAATAATATGGTTCAACGAATTAAGTTTTTTGAAAATTAAAAAAATTAGTAATATTGTATATTCACAACGTGTTACAGGGATTAAAATATTATATCAATGCCGTGATACTGTTTTTCTCAAATGAATTGCGTTTCAAGATTAATTGCATAATTGTGATTATCAGTAAAAGAAAGAAAGAAATGAATAATCTGTTTCTATTTGCCATTGCAGCTTGGGTTTGATTCTGTGCATTTCGCTAGGATTGATTATCAGGACAGAGCTAAGCGTAAAGCTGATAAGTCTCTTGAAGTTGTTTGGCGAGGGTCCAAAACATTTGGTTCTTCAGCTCAGGTTTGGATTGGAACATCAATAGTGATCATGCCTTGCACCTTGCTTTGAATAGAGTGACTAATTATATAGTTTTTTTTCACCATTTTGGGTCTATTGCAGATTTTTGCCAATGCTTTTCCTGTTCACTACAGTGCTCCAAATGGTTTTGATTTTGAAGTCGATAATGACTTTGCTCCGTTACAGGTTCTAACACTCAATGCTTAAAATGCTGATGCTATTTTGCATATTTTTTGTTAAGCACATGGCTCATTTCATGTTACCATTTATAATTGCAGGATGATCCTCGTATTTTTGACTACAACGTTGAACAGCGTGTCAAAGATTTTATTAATGCCGCTACTGCCCAAGTAGGCCCATTCTATCCAAGAATTTTGTCAATACAGAACGCAGTTTTCCTTAGTTGTATTTAATGACTAATCAGTGTACCATTTATACAAACGGGAATGAACTATCTGCCGTGAACTGACAGATCATGTTTAAATTTTCTGTCTCTCTCTCTCTCTTAGACCCTTTTTGGAAGAATTATACAAATAACTTGTGACTTTTATAAATTTTTTTCAGCTTATTTCAATATGATGTGCAGCATAACTACTATTACAATAAGCTCTTTTTACCACCTTATCCGAGAAGTTTTATTTTCAAATATATGGTATAAACCCTTGTGTGATTAGAGCTTATTAAATAAATGATTAATGAAGCTGTGTTTTCATATGCACCTTACTGGACATTAAATATACCCTACCTATTTTCTTTGGATTAGGTAAGAGGCAGGCACAAAATTTAAATATGACCATGTCATGTGAAATTCAACCAGAGAGGATCCATTTCATATAACAACTAGCTTCCTTGTCACTCAAAATATACCAAAATGAGCAAATTTAATTTGCTTGTTCATATTGTAGGCAAATGTGACGAGGACAAACCATATAATGTGGACAATGGGTGATGATTTCCGGTACCAATATGCAGAGTCTTGGTTCAAGCAAATGGATAAATTAATTCACTATGTTAATAAAGTAAGTGTATGCATATCCAAGCAATTATTTAATACATGTATTGATTACATCACACTGAGTAAAAATACGTTTCCTTGTGGTTTAATCTTCAGGATGGTAGAGTCAATGTCTTGTATTCTACTCCATCTATTTACACCAATGCCAAAAATGCTGCAAATCAAACATGGCCACTGAAAACAGATGATTATTTCCCGTAAGAGTCTGTTATTGTTTTGGTTGCAAAGCAGCTTGTGATCTTTCTGAATCAATTATGCACATTCCTGTATATTTTCTTATAGGTATGCCGATGCACCAAATGCTTATTGGACTGGTTTTTTCACCAGTCGCCCAGCCTTAAAGCGATATGTTAGGATGCTAAGTGGATACTATTTGGTATGATATTCTTAATTAAATCCAAGACAATGCTAACATTTGATGGATTTTTCTTGTTTGTTTCAAAACATTCTTAATTAAATCGAAGACATTGCTAATATTTTGATGTAGGCTGCACGTCAACTTGAATTTTTGGCTGGAAATAAATCAACCAAATACCAAACTTTTGACCTTGGAGATGCTCTTGGAATTGCACAACATCATGATGCTGTCAGTGGCACTGCCAAGCAGCATACAACCAATGACTATGCCAAAAGACTGGCCATTGGAGCCTCTAAGGTCTGGGACTTGGAACTTTTCCAAATTAAAAATTTAACATTTTGTGTCCTGCATTTGTTTATCTGGTTAATTTTCCAAAAGCAATGATTTCTTACAGACTGAAGCAGTTGTTAGTTCTTCTCTGGCCTGTCTTACAAGCAAGAAATCAGGTGATCGGTGTTCAGCACCTGCATCAGCATTTGCCCAGGTAATGTTTCAAAAAATAATTTCTCTATTCTTAATAAATATTTATTCTTGTCTAAGTGTCTTGCTAAAAAAAAATTGAGCAGGTTCTGATTTCTGTAAGCTAGAGATATATCTACTGGACTTGTTTGTCATCTTATGTCTGTTTTCTACGTAGCTTATATAGTTAGTCCCTTATTATTTATTCTTTAATTATTTTTCTCCTTTTTTATCATTATGATTGGATTTTGGCAGTGTCAATTACTCAATATCAGTTACTGCCCTCTAACAGAAGACAGTATTCCTCAAGCGAAGAGTTTGGTAATACTTTCATAATTTAGATAAGAATTCTGGTTAAATTTCATTTATCATGTGTTAATGGTAATTATTTCCAGGTTGTAGTGGTCTATAACCCACTTGGATGGAATCGTACAGATATTGTCAGAATACCGGTGAGTGCATATCATTTGCTTGTGGTATCTTAAGATAAATCAATTTCAATATCGTGCTGAATGTGACAATTTGTATTAGGTTAATGATGCCAATCTTGTTGTTAAAGATTCATCCGGCAATAACCTTGAAGTACAGTATGTGGATGTGGACAATGTTACAACAAATTTAAGAAAATTCTATGTGAAGGCATATTTGGGGCTGTCTCCAACACAAGCCCCAAAGTACTGGCTTCTCTTTCAGGTGTCAGTACCTCCACTTGGATGGAGTACGTACTTCATTTCTAAAGCAACTGGAAAAGGTATAGTTCTAATTTCCCAGCTGTTTTGTAAGTCTAGTAACTGTCTTATTTAATTTTGGGGAGTTACATTTTCCCTGTGGCTGTTGCCTTTTGACATCATATCATTTAGTTCAAATCGTAAAAGCAGTCTCTTCACTTATGGGGATAAGTTTATGTATATTTACTCTCCCCCCCCCCCCCCCCCCCCCCCCCCACTAATTGAAGCATCGTGTGTTGGGTTTCCTTTTAACTCCATTTGGCCCAGATAATATGTTTAGATGCTTTCTGAGCAAACATAGTGATTAAACCCCCCATTGTGGGCCTCTTTTGAAAAGACTATGTCTATTCAAGATATTTTTAGACACGTGCATCCCAAGCTTCATGCAGAAATCCTTTTTTAGGCCTTGCTCAGTAGTGCTTAATGCTTTGGTTTTATCATGGTTGTCATATAAAATAACTCCTTATTGCTTAGCCTTTATAAGCTTGATGTGAGATCTCAACACATCCTTTTATACTTAAAATTGAACATCTAGAGTGAGGAGATTATAGAACTGAATTTTTTTCCTATATTGCACTAGGAAAGTTATGGAACCAACAAGAAAAATCTATGGGGCATTTTTTTTATTATTATTTAAAAATTAAAATGTGGTCTAGTATCGAATTTACAATAGACTTTAATACCATGTTAAATTTGGATTTGACGAAATTCAACCCTAAAAGTTAGTTTGAAAAGTAAGGTCTGTATTAACCTTTACAAACTCTATTTTGGCATATATGTTGTTGATGTAAACTCTCAACAAGTGCAAAATATTTTTCATTGGTGTTTCAACTTGACAGGAACTAGGAGAAAAAATCTGTCACGCTTCAGTAGTATGAATGAGACCATTACCATAGGGCCAGGAAATTTAAAGATGTCCTTTTCTTCAACCACTGGCCAACTCAAACGGATGTATAATTCCAGAACTGGAGTAAGTAATTTTGCAAGTTCATACAGCACAGAAAAATGTTATTAATTTGCGTTCATTGAGTTCTCATTCTTGGCAAATTTCCAAATTACAAACCAAAACATAGTGGACCATATGTTTCCTTCAATAAATATACAGAATAAGTTGAATTTCTATTTGAGTATTTGAGATGGATCAGAAAGTAAAAGTAGTGAAGACTATTTTCATCTTTTAACAAAAGGTTCCCACAATCATCAAACTTCAAAGCTTCATATTCCACAACAAGATCAACCTTTATTTTGTGCATGGTTGGGTATATATTCAGTTGAATTCATATGCATAAAATCATGTAAATTCTACAGGTAAGTATAGGTAATATATTTCAGTGTATAACAAGTATGTTCAAGGCATATTTTTTCAATTACGTTTAGCTGTACTGATTTAATATCAAGACATACTTTCAAGGATGTAGTAGGGAACATTTCATGATTTTAAAAATTTCCCAGGTAGATATACCAATTCAGCAAAGCTACCTCTGGTATGGATCTAGTAATGGTGATAGTGATTCTCAGGTGTGTGATTTCTTTGCATACACAACTCAATTTAATAAAAAAATAAGTTAGTACAGTGTATGCTTCAATGGTTTGATTTCTCCTGTAGGCCTCTGGTGCATATATATTCCGGCCTGATGGATCCCCTCCACGCATTGTTTCAAGATCAGTAAGTTTCTTTTTTAATCTATTAACCTGTGGCATTAGTTTTATAAAAGATAATATAGCGTGGTTATCTAACCTCTAGATATGACTTTGACAAAAAAACCATTCAAAGTATCTTGGGTTTGGTAATGTTCTGGTTCTCTTTCTTACTAAGGCCTAGTTTTGGTTAACTTCTAGATTAGTACTTCTAAGAAAAAATATAAAGTAACATGAATAGACCAGTTTGGGTGAATTTATGAAGAAGTCCATATAGAAGAAAAAATCAGTATAATAAATGAATAAATCTTTTTTAGTAAGTTAAAAATAACTTATCTCTTCAAATTTTAAAAAAACTAAATGAGAGTACTTTTCAAAATTTCTTCAAAAATAGAGAAGTATAAATTATTTCAAACTTATGAAAGAAGTTTTATTCATTTTTTATACTGAATTTTTTTTTTCTCTTATAAGAACTTCTATAAAAGTATATCCAAACTGGGCCAAAACTTTTCTCATAAGTTAAAAATAACTTCTATATCTCAAGTTTTAGAGAAGTTAAATGAGAGAACTTCTAACAAAGTAAGGATGGAAAACATAAGTTGATTTTAACCTATTAGAGAGGTTATATTCATTTTACTTCTTTATTTTTTATCCTATTTGAACTTATTGAGAAATTTGTCCAAAATAGGTGTAACTGTCTTTCCATTTCTTTTTAAGCTTTTCGTATTTCTTATACTATATTTGTTGTCTGTACATTTGCATTATGATTTATTGGTATTCAGGTGCCCACCACCGTAATCCATGGACCAATAGTTGATGAAGTTCATCAGACATTTAGCTCTTGGATTTACCAGGTCAGTAACTTAGCAGATTTAAGTACCATGATGCAAGAAGTATTTTGCATTCAGAGTCAGTTTAAAGATTGTCATATATTTTTTTATTGTATTGGTAAGTCCCATATATTCTATGTTGTAATAAATGTATGGATTTCAAAACACCGCAATGAATGCTGAATATTGGTGTTTAGAGGATGTATCTCAATATCCATTTCTTGAGCTAAGAAATGCATGCATGTACACACAGATTCTAATGCTGAAAATGGAATGGATGCATGGAAAATTGGAAAGCAGGGAGACATATTACATTATCTAGGATCTCATTCATTCTCACTGAATGGCACTTAGCACTACTGTTAATATTGAAAATCTTCACATTACTGGGAGAAAAAACAATTAAGATCATTGCAGTGGAAAAAGTTGAAACTCATCTCCTTAAATATGATTAAATATTTAAATGCCTTACTATGGCATGAATAAATTTTTCTTACTATTTATTTATTTTCAGGTTACCAGGCTTTACAAAGGCAAAGATCATGCTGAAATCGAATTCACTGTAAGTTGCATTGCCTGCCTGGTCTTGTAAAAGATCTCTTCTGTCTTATACCAGGAAAATAGAATATTGTGACTTTTAATTGGCCGAGTCTGAATTCTGGACTCTTTTAAAAATAACAAATGAAGTTCTGACTTTAGTTTTTCTATGAAGATTGGTCCAATTCCTACTGATGATGGAGTTGGAAAAGAGGTGATCACACAAATGACAGCAAATATGGCCACAAACAAGGAGTTTTATACTGATTCTAATGGAAGAGATTTTCTGAAACGAGTAAAGCTCATTCAATTTTTTTTCCTGTTTATAATAAATCCTCTGAGGAGAACAGATTCAAACATTAACTTACAATCTTACATGGCATATTAAAATTGTCAATGCAGGTTCGAGATCATAGGGAAGATTGGCCCCTTCAAGTTACTCAACCAGTAGCAGGAAATTATTACCCAGTAAAATTCTTGTACTTTCTTAATTTCATTGGGAATTTAGGTTTTCATTGCAGATAATCTAGGGGTAGAAAATGAAAAACAAGCAACACAATTATATCAGGGCATCCAATCCTAAAACCAATCAGCAGAACTTGAGATGTGTGTGTAAGAGAGAGATGGGGAGTCTATTAGTTCTGTTGCTTCATTGTTGATGAGTTTCGATAATCTTGATTAAGTTTATATAAAACTATTCTGATTATTTTTTCTGTCCAGCTTAATCTTGGAGTTTATACAAAGGATAAGATATCCGAATTCTCAGTCTTAGTTGATCGTGCCACTGGTGGGTCCAGCATCAAAGATGGTGAGGTGGAATTGATGCTTCATAGGTATGCATACCATTTTCATTGTTTAATTCAAGATCATTTTTTGCATACACGATATTAACCCTCAGTCTTTGCTACTGAAGGCGTATTCTCCAGGATGATAGTCGAGGAGTAGGAGAAGCACTTGATGAAGAAGTTTGCGTGGACAATAATAAGACATGTGAAGGGCTAACAGTATGGCAATGTCACCAATTAATTTAAATTTTTATGCATCTTCCATACTATCAACTGTATGAAAAGTTAGGTTATTATTCAAAAGATGTGGATTGAAACACTCCCTTTAACCAGCTGAGTAGAAAAGCTAGAAAGTAGAAACAAACTATTTACCTTTCTTTTATCTATATGTAGCATTTATGGATTATTTATCTTCTTTTTCTGTCATATCTCATCCTAAATGCTATATCAGGTCAGAGGAAATTACTATGTCAGCATCCACAAGCTTGGAGCTGGTTCACGTTGGCGTCGCACAACTGGTCAGGAAATCTACTCACCAATGTTACTTGCTTTTACACACGAGGTATGACTCAATTGTAGGTACTTCACGGATTAACAGTCATCACCATATTAAAACTTCTGAGGTATTTATTAATCAGAACGTGGAAAATTGGAAGTCCTCTCATTTGACCGAAGGAACTACCACGGATCCAAATTACAGCTTGCCTCCCAATGTTGCTCTGATAACTCTTGAGGTAGATTAAATGCTACAACAAAATGCTGTAAGACTCTTCGCTCTTTCTCTCTAACTAAATATTTTTGCAGGAGTTGGATGGTGGAATTGTGCTTCTTCGTTTGGCACATCTGTATGAGGTAAATCTATCAAACTTGTCATCATCCTCTTCCTATTTACTTTTGATGAACCAATCCAAAGTAATATAACTAAAAATCTACAGCATCATATACCAATTCATGCCTTGAGACATATTTTAGGGTAATTCAGTTGTAAAAAGTACTCTCTTTTCTGTATCTATATTTCTCATATTGTACTTCTCTTATATTTCTCTCATGCTTTCAATGTGGTTAGCCAAGTGAAGATGCTGAGTATTCAACACTCACCAAAGTTGAACTGAAGAAGTTGTTTGCCAGTAAAACGGTACATAGTTTGGCTTGTCTTTGTGATGCACAGATAGTTTCTTAGATTAGAAAATTTTGAATTAATTCACTTTCATTCTATGAAACTGGTCAATCAGGTTTGTAATGGGTGATTTGGTGTTTTATTATGCAGATAAAGGAGTTGAAGGAGGTAAGTTTATCAGCTAACCAAGAGAAATCAGAAATGAAGAAGATGAAATGGAACGTTGAGGGGGACAAAGGGCAAGAACCTAAAGCAGTCAGGGGTCGCCCTGTCAGCAATTCCGATTTTGTTGTTGAGCTTGCTCCCATGGAAATTCGCACTTTCCTGTTGAAATTTTAAAATAATACATATTGATGATTTGAAGAAATAAACATGTTTCTCTATCAGTTGTTGTCTTCTATTTCTTGTTGGAAAGGCCTCAAGGCTTATTAATCTGTGGACTCTACATTTGAATGCTGACTCCTAAGTTGGTTGCGCTGCAACTGTATATCCAAGGTCCAAACCCTTTTTACTCATTAGGCTAGGGGTGTGTTGGATTTGTATAAAACCAAATTAAATTCATTTTAAATTCAATAATATAGATTGAACTTTAAATTAATCTATTTTATTTTTTTAAAATTAGTTTTAAAATTTAGATTTGATTTAAAATTGGTTTTAAATCTAGTAAAATATAATATAAATATTTTTTATACTATTATTGAATTATTATATTAAAAAATAAATTTTATAATAATTAATATAAAATTATATCTGCATATATTTTACTAAATTAATAATATAATTATTTTACATTCATATTATATTAAAATTATATTTATATTTTTTTACTTTGCACTATTTATCCACCACAAAAAGTAATTATATATATTAAATTTTAAATTAATTTTTTTAAAATAGTTTAAAATTAATTTTAAATTTTAGATTTAGTTTAAAAACATTTTAAAATCTGGTTTTAGTTAAAATCATATTTAAATCTAATATTTTATATTAAGTTAATTTTAAATCTAGTGTTGAGTCAAATTAGTTATAAATTTAATTTTTAAGAAAATTTTTTTTTAAAAAAAATTTAATTTAAATATAGTTGACAAAATAAATGTTATAAGCTTCATATACCAAACACACTTAAATCAATTACGTCTCTAACGTGAATAATATACAATCATTTTAATTTAAACAATACAACGCAAATTTTTTTTTTTATAAAAAATAATTCAACAAACACTAAGAAATGGATAAATTATGAAATAACAGATTAAAATGTGAAGCTTACTGTGACTTCAAGCGAAGATGATCCTCCATTATCTATCTTAATAATAATATAAAAATATTTATTTTATATAAAAATGTTTATCTAAATCATTAAAATTATTTAAAAGATTAAATTTAAATAACTAATAATAGTAAAATTTTATTAAAAAAATTAGTTAATTTATTTTTAACTTACAAATTACAACTTTTGTATATTTAAAGTTGGTTTGAAAATTAGTTAACGAAACTAATAATAATAATAATAATAATAATAAAAATAAATTCCTTGTTATTTTTCTTAAATAAAACTATCATTAATTAAAAAAATAATACAAATCTTTTTAAAAATTTTAAAACATTTCTATTCATAATATTTTAGTAAAAATACTATCATTCACTTCTTGTTCAAAAAATAACTCTCACAACCCACCCACAAACCTTAAAGACAAGATAAAAAAGAAAAAAAAAAAGGAAAAAAAAAAAAACAATCAGCTTCGTACCGGTATCGACGCGGGAAATTTCCTGGGCAGTTAACCTGCTTTCTCCCAAAAGCCACGTGTCGTTTTGATGTTTTTCTTTCCATTCCTCTTTCGGAACTCCGAATCCACAGAACGGTAACGACCTTGAAAGTTGGAAGTTGCATTCATCAATGGCGTCAGAAAAACCTAACCAGAGAAAATCCCTGTACCCAGAGGCAATCGATTCGAATCCCGAAGCACCGTCCCCATTCCTTTCGAACCCCCAACGTTCCACCTCCTCTCTCTACCCCACCGTCGATGTCAGCGACCTCGTCGAAGACCTGTTTCCTGACAATGCCACCGAGGAAGTCCTCATCAAGGTCCCCGGAGCCATCCTCCACCTCATCGACAAAGACTACAGTGTTGAGCTCGCCTGCGGCGAACTCACTGTCATGTGCCTTCGCCAGAACCAGAATGTTGTCGCCGTCTACGCTTGCGTAGGAGACGAGATCCAATGGCCGCTGGCGAAGGATGAGGCCGCTGTCAAGGTCGACGACTCACATTACTTCTTTTCCCTCCGTGTCCCCAGGCAAGAGGAAGAGTCCTCCTCCTCAAGCGATGAGGAAGGAAAAGAAGCAAAGTCTCATAGTCGCCGTAAGGACCGGAATTCCGGAACTGGCGTGTTAAGCTATGGATTGACGATTGCGTCGAAGGGGCAAGAAGATTTGCTGAAGCAGCTGGATAAGGTGTTGGAGGAATGTAGTGGCTTTTCTGTGCAGAAGGTGTCGGAGAAGGCAAAGAAGAAGGGGGAGGCTTTGGATGGTTCGGTAGCGTTGGAGACATCGCCAGCGGATTTGAAGACAGGGAATGAGAAGAAGGAGTTGATGGAGGAGATGTGTGCGGCATATTGGACCACATTGGCTCCTAATGTGGAGGATTATAGTGGAACTGCTGCAAGGCTTATTGCTGCCGGTTCTGGACAGTTGATTAAGGGGATTTTGTGGTGTGGCGATGTGACGGTGGAGCGGTTGCGGTGGGGAAATGAGGTCATGAAAACGAGGATGACATCCACTTCACAGGAACAGATTAGTCCTCAAGCCTTAGCGCGGATCAAGAGGTGTGTGATTGCCATCTTAATTTGTTGTTGTTTTTTGTTTTCCTTTTGTGTTTGAATAAGTCTAGTTTCTTGTTGCTTTGTGCAGGGTGAGGGTTGCTTATGTTGTTGAATGCTGATAAAAACATGTGTTTAGTTTAGCAAAATATATTCCTTTTGAAAATTGTTTGATGTACTATTAAAAGTAAACACTTTTAGGGGCCTCTTTATATTTTGAATGCGTGTATTGAAAAAAGATAAAAAAAGTGAGTGAGAGATAGGAATAATGATATACAGTGTAAAAAAATGGTGTCAATTTTGATTGGTTCGAATAATGGAACTCATTATTTATATATTTATTTTTGCACTCAAGAAGGGTGTATATGTGAAAAAGGAAGGGAGTATATGAATAAAAAAGACAGAGAAAGTGAGAGGTGTGATGATGCAATGAGAAAAGAAAGAGAGAGACGTGAAGTGAATGTAAAAATTAGGATGTGGAAAAAACAGAATTGTTAATTATGCTGTTTATCCAATGTTTATTAGACGAGTTATATATAGTCTTTGAAAGGTAATAATAATTATTTGTCATCTTTTGGCAGCTTGAGCATTTATTATTTATATAATTGATATTATGTCCTTTGGCTTGATGTTTGTATAGGGTTAAGAAAGTGACTAAAATGACAGAGAATGTAGCAAATGGGGTCCTCACTGGTGTTGTGAAGGTCTCAGGATTTTTCACTAGTTCAGTGGCAAATTCAAAAGCGGGAAAGAAATTCTTCAGCCTTCTACCAGGCGAAGTTGTGCTTGCATCATTGGATGGATTCAGTATGTCAGTTAATCTTTGGCTTTTAGCAGGCTGATTTAAGCATTAGCCAGATATCCTGCAGGAAAGGAAGAAATTGAAAACCCGCTATCTTCTTTACAAAGGAAAGAAAATTAATATAAACGAAAAGCTGTTTTTTATTAATTAAAAAGTAAAAAGAATTAAATAACCCTCTATATCTTTTTGCTTCTCCTTGATTTGGCCAAGTTTAATGCGGAGTCCATGTAGACTGTAGAGAACTCAACATTGGAATTCCATAGTTGCTTGTACATCAACGTTGCACAATTGTTCACTATATTAGATTATTAGAATTTTGAAAATGAATATGGAATTTACAAAGGACCTCGGATAAATCATGCCAATTCATTGGTTTAGTTATTTCCTTTATCATTTGGATAAAATTCTTTTGCAAGACAGTGAATAGGCAAATAGAGTCATTAAGATTGTGTGCCTTCATGTGACTAATTGGCTCTCAAATTTTGCCACTGGAAATCACTTTACCTTTCACTTATTCTAACCTTGATCGGTTCATGTAAATTAAGTTGGGATCTCTTCCATGTTTGGGCTTTAAGTGAAAGCAGCCATGATACAGTTAGTTGGTGCTATAGTCTGCTGAGTTAATTATTTTACTGATGATTTTACATGCTTATTTAAATATATCTTGGAAAGTTTTATTTTTGAAATTTACATTTTTTTCATTAATAGGCAAAGTGTGTGATGCTGTTGAAGTAGCAGGAAAAAGTGTCATGTCAACATCATCCACTGTGACAACCGACCTTGTCTGTCACAGGTAAAGCCTATAGATGCACTTTCTAGTGTAAAACACTTAATAGAAGAAACCATGAAATTAGTTATTGAATTTGATGATACTATGATTCATTGCTCTGGTGTTATAATGAGGGCATTTGACAGAATTTTCCCCTGGAATGTGCAAAACCCATGTTGAGAATGATGAATGAGAATTAGAGAGTTAATTCTGGCTGTCATACTCAAGAATGTTTAAGATCTTCGATTGCCAATAAATTACAAGATTTTGTAGGAATGCTTCATCTTACCAAGCACCTCCACTGATTTAGCAATTTGAAAATAGAGAAGTAGGAAAACTGCATTTGGGTGTGCTATTATTAGGAACTAGCAGTCCTATTCTTTTCTAGCTTGCCTTCTATACACTGCTGTGGTAACTAAAGAAATCCGCGTTACTTAATTTGTTGTTTTCCATTTTCCATGACCTGCTTTGAGAATTTAAACATGCAACATAGCGATGCAGTGTTTTCTCTTACTGTTGAGAGGAATTTGGAAATGTTTTTACCGCAGATATGGAGAAGAAGCTGCCAAGGCAACAAGTGAAGGACTGGATGCTGCTGGTCATGCTGTGGGTACTGCATGGGCTGCTTTTAAAGTTCGGCAGGCTCTTAATCCTAAGAGTGTTATAAAACCTACTGTCCTAGCCAAATCTGCAGCTAAAGCTGCTGCTACAGCTGCTGAACTTAAGGCTAAAAGGTCCAAGTGATGTATGGAAAGAATTCTTCACTTAAGGTTTTGACGATCCTACCAAACATCAAAAGCCACTGCTATTCATTGTCACAGCTTCTTAATTGTATATGTTATAGGTGGAAACGTGGATGTGGGATTTGATGTTTTTTCTTTACCATATATATGATGACTGTATTTATTGTTTTGTAGAAAAGAACTTCCTCAATGTGTATTTATTGTTTTGGAGGTTACTGTATTTCTGTGTTCGAACTATTTTCTTTTGTGAGAAAACTAGTTCTTCTTTGTATTTCTCTGAATTAGTCACATCACAAGTGCTGTAGAAGAACTCTTTCTTTTTCTGTCAATGTGACCTGCTGTATAGCCTAAAGAAGCTGCATTGAAGGAGATCTTTGTTGTGTGTTGAGCTTTGGTTCAAAGAATACTTGTGATGTACCCTTAGCCCATATATATTGAAGGGAAAAATATGGGATAAGAAAGAATGGGCCTAGCAAAAAGGAAGGGTCACTTGGAGGGATTGATAGAGATAATAAGCAAGAATTGTGTTATGCGTAAGGGCACCTGACAAGCTGTGAATGGAGAGAGAAACAGAGGAAATGATTCGGAATCATCAAGTGGAGCAGGTTAAGAGGGTCGTAGGTGGTATGGATAGGAGGAAAGCAGGTACTGAGGAGAATTGGAAGGTATGGGCAGTGGATGTTCCTCTTGAGATATTTGGAATTGAATGAATCTGATATTATTTCAGAAAAAAAAAAAAAAAAAGAGTTACAGCATACAAGGAAAGCTAGAAATATATAGCTCCTTAGGAACAAAATTGACACAGCAAAAAGGAGGGAAAATAACAACCCTTAACCGAAAAGCAACAGAATGCAACAACTATTTAAACTGAAAACTAACTTCAAGAATTAACACATATTAACACCCCCCCTCAAGTTGGACGGTGGAGATTACAAAGTCCCAAATTGGTAACAAAAATATCAAATGAAGCATGGTGAAGTGGCTTAGTGAAGGCATCAGCAAGCTGAGCTGAGGAAGATACTAGGAGCAAGTGAATTAAGCCTTGTTGAATTTTCTGACGAACAACATGACAATCAATCTCCATGTGTTTAGTCCTCTCATGGAACACAAGATTATGAGCCAAATATATAGTAGATTAGTTATCACAATAAACTGAAGTGGGATCCAAATGAACTTGAAGATCACTAAAAAGGTAGTGTAACCACTGAATTTCACAAGTGAGGCTGGCTAAAGCTCGATATTCTGCTTCAAAAGAAGAATATGAGACTGTAGTTTGCTTCTTTGATTTCCAAGAGATTAAGGAAGAGCCAAGGAACACACAAAAACCAATGATAGATTTTCTAGTGTCTAAGCAACAGGCCCAATCTGAGTCATCAAAGGCTGATAATTTTAGATCAGAGGAAGCAGAGAAAAATAAACCTTGAGCAGGACATCCCTTTAAGTAACGAAGAACTCGAAGAGCAGCCTTGTGATGATGATCTAAAGGATTGGACATGAATTGACTTAGTTGCTGTACAGAATAGGCAATATCTGGACGAGTAATTGTGAGATATAAAAGCCTCCCAACCAAGCATCTATAACTGGCAGCATCAGGGAATGGTTGACCTTGATCAGCTTGGAGCTTAACTGAAGGATCAAAAGGAGTCTTGGCAAGTTTGGATCCAATTAAGCCACTGTCCTCTAGAAGTTCAAGAGCATATTTCCTTTGGTTTATGTGAATGCCAAATTTGGAGCGAGCAATTTCAGGGCCAAGAAAGTATCTGAGAGAACCTAGATCCTTGATTTTGAATTTATCATCCAAAATTTGTTTAACATGAGAAATTTCATTCATATCAATGCCAGCTAAAATAATATCATCCACATAAACTAATAATGCAGTGAATGAATTAGAAGTGGACTTGGTAAATAAAGCATGATATGCAGAAGATTGTTTGTAGTTAAGGTAAATAAGAGTAGTAGACAAAGTGTTGTGCCACTGTCTGCTAGCTTGCTTAAGACCGTAGAGTGACTTATGCAACCTGCAAACCTTAGAGGAACTAGATGGAAGCAAACCAGGAGGAGGAATCATGTAAACTTCTTCATCTAGATTGCCATGAAGAAAGGTATTATTCACATCCAATTGTTCCAAAAACCAGCCTTTGATAGCTGCTAAAGCAAGTAAGACTCTCACAGTAGTGATCTTAGCAACAGGTGAATAAGTGTCAAAGAAATCAACTTCTTCCAATTGTGTGTAACCCTTAGCCACTAATCTGGCTTTGTATCTTTGCATGCTATTTAACCTTGTAGACCCATTTGCAGCCAATAGGATTCTTACCACTTGGGAGATCAACAAGAGACCAAGTTTGGTTTTGCTGTAAAGCTTGTAACTTAGTATTCATGGCCTTTTGCCAACAATCCAATTTAGATGCTTGAGTATATGAAGTTGGTTTAGGAATAGTAGTGACAGAGAGACAAAAAATTTTATACAAATTGTTACAATAAGTGTAGTCAAGAACAAAAGAAAGGGGATAAGGATGAATACCTGCAGAAGGAATCTTGGAATAGTTTGGAGCAATCACTGAATTACAGTAAAAATCTGCTAGGTAAGAAGGTTTGTGTTGAATTCTGGTGGAATGTCTTGTGGGTTGAGGTGAATGAATTTCTGAAGGAGGATTGAGAGCAACATTTTGTTCATGGGTCAGAGAAGAGGTGCTACTTATTAGGGAATTATTAGGAGGTATGGGTGGAGAATATAAGGTTTTTGTGTTTGTGGTGGTCAATATAGGAGGTTGGTTTGTAGGATGAATACTTGATAACCCTGTGAAAGAAAACACATTTTCATAAAGTATAACATTCCTTGAGATAAAAGTTTGATGAGATTGGAGATCATATAGAACATAACCTTTGGTGCCTTCCCTATAACCTAAGAACACAGAATATGCATAGCTTGTTGTATAGCAAAATGCCAAAAATTTTGAGGAATATTAGCTTGATTGAAAATTGCTCTAGTCACATTCAAAACATGTTGATGTTTTCTTTCAACAATTCTGTTTTGTTGGGGAGTTTTAACACAAGTTCTTTGGTGAATTATGCCTTTTGAGGAAAAGAAGTGATGCAACAGAAATTCCACACCATTATCACTTCTAAAACACTTCAACTTGGTATTAAATTATGTTTCAATATAAGAAATGAATTGTATTATATGGTTTCTGGTTTCATTTTTTGTTTTCATTAGTATAATCCATGTAAACCGAGAATAATTATCAACTAAAGTAAGAAAATATTTATGCCCGAATAGGGAAGGTACAGAATATGGTCCCCAAATATCTCCATGTAGAATGTCAAAAATTTTATTTGAATGTGTTTCACTAGTATAATGTGGCAGTTTCCTTTGTCTAGAAAAATGACAAATATCACAGGGAGAAGTATTTATACAATGAGGAATGAAAGGAAATTGTCGAGATATTACTTGCATAAGGGAATTTGAAACATAGCCTAGTTTATAGTGCCAAAGAGAGACTTCTTTTGAGACAACAGTAGTCTGGTGGGCTGAAGTTATTTGAGATTTATTTTTCTGTGGTAGCAGATTCATCACATATAATCCATGTTGCAGCCTAGCTGAACCAATCTTCTTCCTAGAAGTATTCTGCACAATTGTACAAGAGTTAGTGTCAAAAATTAAATGGAATTGCAGAGATTTGATCAATTGAGTTACAGATACCAGATTGACATGAAAATTTGGGACATACAAGACATCATGTAGGATCAATGAATCAAACAAAATGACAGTACCAGAAATGGAAGTGGTTACCTTAATGCCATTAGGTAAGGAAATAAGTATTGGTTGAATGTGCTTATATTTAGCAAAACTGTGAAAATTGAAAGTCATGTGGTCAGTGGCACCTGTATCCAGAAGCTACTGATTGAATTGTTTACCTTGAGAAATATTTGAAGGAGGATCATAAGGAGAAACAACTGAGTTAGCTGAGGGAGTATAGTAGACAGAAGGTGATGTGACTGAATTAGCTGAATGTGCAAAACTTGATGCATTTGTTTTGGATTGTTCCAAAAGATCAAGAATACTATGATACTGCTCTTCAGTGAAATTAATCCCTAATCTTGGAGTCTCTTGATGGCTTGAAGTATCAACTGCATCAGAATCTAGAGGAAAATTGTTAGCATTAGCAGAATTAGCCATTTGAGCATTTTTGGATTGATAACCGGGTGGAAAACCATGCTTGAAGTAGCATGTATCAACTGTATGATTTGTTCTCTCATAATAGGTACAAAACTTGGTTCGTTGCTGGCCTCTTCCTTGATAATTCCTTCCTTTGCCTCTGTTGGAATAACCACCTCTTCCTCTACCACCATTATAATTTCCATTATTCCTTGGCTGTGAATTTTGAGAGCTAGATACAGCCAGTGCCTTAAGGTTAGAAGCAGTGTCAGAAGGAGCAAGAACAATGTTGAATTGTCTTTCTTGTTGTATCACCATATTAAAAACCTTGGTTATGTCAGGCAAAAGATCTAACAGCATTATCTGAGATCTAACTTGAGCATATTGCTCATTCAATCCTTTAAGAAAACGAATTACATAATCTTGTTCCTTATATTTCTTCATAGATTCAATAGCACCACAAGAGCAAGGAGTGAAGCATTTACAATCTAAAGTAGGTCTAAAATTGTCTATCTCTTCCCAAATGGTTCTCAATTCAGTATAAAACTCTGAAACTGATAGTGTACCTTGATTCAATTTGTAAAGTTCTTCTTGCAGATCTGCAACTCTGAATATGTCTCCTTGATAGAATCTATTGTGAAGATCCTTCCATACATCCGAGGCCTTTTCTATCCAGAGAATTGATTTCAGGATTGATTTATGCACAGATCTTTGAAGCCAAGAAAGGAGCATAGTGTTACATTTATCCCAAGGTTCATGAAGAGGATCACTCTGAGGTGGTTCTGGTAAGCTTCCATCGAGGATTTTCAATTTATTCTTCAATTTGATTGCAAGTTTCATTGACT